TTCTGCCTGGAGTCTGTCATCAATCCACAGACTAACCGGAGATGGGAAGATTCGGTGTGTGGTTTTGCTCTATCGACTAGCCACGCTCTGAACCAATTTGCATCGAAGGTTGTTAAGAATACCACTCGACATGGCCCGTGTACCGTTGCCCTAGAATTGGGCTCGTTCATAATCGAACGTCCACGGCTATCTCCAACTATCCAACCGACAATTCACTCTCGAAGCCGTCGATATAGAAAACACCCGCATTCTGCTTGATATCCCTCAAAGCGCCACCTACTCCCGTACTTCCCAACAGTTTCGCATCTGGCCAGCGCAGTCTCGTTATTGCATGGCAGTCGCCTTCGCCACTAGCCCAACGGGCCCGTTGACAGACGGGATTGTATTTAACTAGATTTCCACTCTGGCCATGCTCAGGGCCACGGTGCCGCGTGTGTTCAGGCCCGATATTTCCCGCGGCCCGTTCAGAAATATCTATATGCATACTGACTTTCCACGGAAGTACCATCTTGGTCAGCGGTGGCTGGAATATCAAGTTGTCTAATCGATCTAAGAGTGGGCGTGTGTAAACCCAATTTGAGATGCTTTATCCCGCCCGAAATGGCTTATCCAGTCAAGCTATTGATGAGATCGACGAGGAACCTTACAACCACCAACCACCAAGGACAGGAGTTCATGTTTTATCAAGGCTGGAGTACTGGGACATTCCGGTACTTCCTGCCCGCGCTAGAATCCAGCCGGGATATCTCGGACCTTATACGATCGTATGCAGCGATTCGAGCAACGTCATGCTTCGAATGCGAACTTTTACCGAATTGCTTATGCCTACTTCACCACGATGCAGACGCCTTTACTGCTGATATTGCGAAGCTGACAGCACGGCTGATTATGATAAACGACTTTACGTTGCATTCAACATGCCAGAGTTACTTTGAATGGGTAGCCCTTTACACCATCTACCGTAAGAGGCAAAGGGACTGGAACGCCATGGCTGTCTAAATCGCTTAACTCTATCCAAGGCGTACGTATGTCCCCTTTTAAGCCATACACATTACAATAGCACATCGTAGGTTATCGTACTCTATATTAGGCCGCATATGTGCGGTCAGACAATGCTGCTCCCCGCCGGCCAACAAGGACGCATCACCAGAGTGAGTTAGTTGCGCAGAGATAGCCGTGCTTCGCCACAAGCTCTTCCGCTACGGGGTGACCTGAAAAAAACTCCTAAAGGCAATTGCTGCACCTGCAACAAGCTTCATCTTGTGTAACACGGCAATTTCAGCAAATCTTACGAATATGGAGTGTATGCCAGAAGTGGTTCCTATTGCCGTCCCATGTGTGGTTGGGTCAAAGCTCTCTGTGTACTAATAATAGGCCAAATCAACCGCTCGGTTGCAATGTGTAACCCAGCGGGGAAAGGAGAATGAGAGGCAAATCCTTATGCAGCTGCAATGGCCATAAGCTCACCCAGCGTCGTTGCCACGACCATACAGCAGCGGAAAAAATGCCCGAAAACATTGTAGCCAGAGTCAGAGCGTTGGTGAACTTGCCATGTTTGCCTACCCAGAACAAGGGGGGGATTCGGCTAAACAAGTTTTTGTTGTATTGATGATGGTTGTCAGGTAGTTTTGTGACATATTGAGGTCTTGGTCTTTCCCAGTACAATGAAGTAGAAAAGGATGAATATACCCAATAAGGCTGAATGCATACCTTCACAAACATGACACTTTGGCCCGGCCATCTCTATTCTTCAATGGGAGCTGGACACGGGTATTAGGAGAGGCATCAAAGTATGCCCTGCAATGCGCACTGTCCATGCAAAACTGCATTCCAGCAACTGACCAGGCACGGCCCTAGCTCATCCTTTGGGCCAGAACGCTGAACTAGGCCAAAACACCTATGACTGGGGCTCTTCACTCACCACCATGGTTTTCATATCTGGATAGAGGCCCGACCCGGTGTTTCAGCCTCCTGTTGACCAATGGATTCCGTTGTTGCGCTAGTTCGGAGTGGCGTCGGATAACCCGATCGTCCGTCCTCGAGAGGTCCCCCTCGTCGATACCCATCGATTCACAATAACAACAGTAGAATATAACGAGCCTGACGATGTGAATTTATGCAGACACTTTTATTCAGATAACTTGTGGTGGTTATGGTTTGATTTTGACCGTTGAATTCCCGCTCTTGATTCGATTCAAGTGCGTGGCAGCCATGAAGCGCGCGCTAGATACCTCGTCGGACAGTCCGAAGGTTTGGAGACGGCAGGAACCCGTCTCGTGTCAATTCTGTCGAAACAAAAAGCTCAAATGCACTAGGGAAATTCCTTGCGCAAACTGCCGCCAGCGGAATATCGAATGCATCCCTTCATCTTCATATAGTAAGTGGTTCATGTTCTGGATCTAACGCTGCGGAGTTTCCGAGCTACATATCGTGTGCGGTAGAAACTGCTGCGTGTTCGGCCCTGAACATAGTTAATGTTGTATATAATAGACTGGCTGATCGGATAACGTTGCTTGTATAGCCCGGAAAGCTGAGATAAAAACAGACGGCCCCTTGCCAACTGCCGATGGACAGGCCGCTCAAATAACGTAAGCTGCTACCCTGTTGGAGCGTATCATCGCAAGTGGAGAGCTAGCACGCTCATTATTTCCATGCTATAATACCTTAAAAGTTTATGTCTGACTGCTACCCGGCGGCTCCTAGGACCCTTGAACAACGAGTCAAAAGAATTGAAGAGAGACTTGGCATCCCTTATGAAGGGATATTAAATGCAGAAGATAACTCAAGTTTGAGTGCATCTGCGGCCCCCTTTCGCCAACCTGTCAATGAGAAGGATATCCCTGATGCTCGGATAGAAGCCGAGGGAATTGGGTTTGAGTCCGCAGTTACCGGACAAGGCGAGGGTAGAAATGACTGTGAGGTGGTCGGCCGAGATGAGGAGAACATGACGGTGAGCAAAGCCTTTTCCTTTCCTTATCCATCCGTGAGTGATGCGTTGCAGGGGGTTAATAGCATCCTTTGAATAGTCCCAAATCGTTGATAGTCTCCTGCAGCCAGAAAGGGATAACTCTCAGTTCCTTGCGGGTTGGCCGGATACGCCGGGAGTGGCCATAACATGCCCTCAGCTCCAGGCCTTTCTGCCGCCCTACCCACGGGCGGTCGAGCTTGTTGATTATTACCAGGAACATGTTGGATGGGCATATCACTTGCTGCATATGCCAACATTGAGACGCCACCTCCTTGAGACTTACCAGCAAATAGGGTTGGGATATATACCAAATCTCCCAATTTTAGCACTCATTTGTGCAGTATTTGCATTATCTAAGTTCTTTTCCCAATCAACTTCGGCTTTCAGTGCATCTGACACATCTCAAGATAAAACTCATCAAGAGTATGTCGGGATGGCAAGCCAGGCTTTAGCAGAAGCTAGGCATTTGGAGCATCCAACCGTGGAATCCATCCAAACTGTAGTCTTGATCGGGATCTGTTTGCTTGTTAATGCGGGCGCTATCCGCTCGGCGCGAGCCCTTTCAGGTGCGATGTATATATCTGCCCAGGCCTTGTCCTTACATCAATTGGACTCGCCGAAAAACAAAAGCCTCCGGCAGCAGGGGCAGTATAATAAACTGGACCTGGAGATCAAGCGGCGTCTCTGGTGGCACATTGCATCCACAGACTGGTACGTTATTATCCACCTGCAAAAATCTGGGCCAGGTTAAATCTAAGAAGCCATCTAGGGTATATGCATTCATATCTGGGCCTCAGACAGGGATATATATTGTGCAACCTCATCAAATGCATGTAGATCTGCCTAGCAACGCAGACGATCACGAAATAACCCCGTCTAGCTGTCCGAACAAGCCCCTGACCGAGCCAACGGAGGTAACTTATCTTATTCTTAGGTGCAAAGCATCCAAGATGTTTGTGGAATTTATGGAAACCGCCAATAAGAAAGGAGTAGGAATCCACGAATTGGAGTACGATCAAATACTTGCGTTTGACAAGAAAATCAACGAATTCTTCGCCGCGCTACCGTATTTCTTCCAAGTCGAGACTGAGGGTAACGAGCACTTTGCAGAATTGGAGAAGAAACGGAAAGCACTGGACAAAGAGCGGCCCTATATAAAATGGCAGAGAGTGATGGCCCAGTTTGGAGCCAGCACGAGGATATCCCGTCTGCATAGACCATATCTTGCTCTTGGAGCCCGCGACCCACGTTATGCATACTCCCGGATGGCCTGTATCAGGGCAGCTCGGGCCGTGCTTGAGATTGATCGGCGTATGAGAAATAGCGTTGGCCCTTCAGCTCCGAATCCATCTAAGGTCTGGGCCATTGCATACCAGTTGTTCTTGGCCACAACGGTCTTGGCCATGGACTATCATTTCAACAGAAACGAGCCAAGTGCAGGGGAACGTGCTGAAGAAATCCTTGAGTGCTGCCGTGCATTGGATGCAGCGGCCCAGAGCAGCGTAGTTGCGGCGAGAGGCCTAAAGAAGCTCAAAGAGGTGGCTGCAAAATGGGGCCTTTTGTCAAACTTCGAGCTCAACTCCATCATCGGTCAAGATGGAAAGGAGGCAATACCTCCGCCGAAAGAGTCTGCCCATATCCAATACACAGGGTATTCACAAGATGGAAGCGGGCTCCAAAACGCAGAAACCGGGTCTCTTGGGGCCATGTGGGGAAGCGTATGGGATCTCAACATTAATATAGATTATTCTCAGTGGGATGGGATATTCCAGGACATTGAAAGTAAACATGGCATGCTTTGAATAAACACTGCATGCTGTATTATCTGTCTCAACTTCAATAGAATTAGAACCTGAATTGGACTTGTTGATGTGACGTTGAAATTGTTGTTTGTTTCGTGTTTGGCTCAAGTCGACGACCGAAATGATGACTCATCACTGAGTCAGCGAACAACTTGGCCAAAGGTGCAGGTGGCACTTCGTTATCACCAAAAGCGACGAGCGAGATAGTCGATAGACATACTGGAGGGAAAAGTTGAACATCACTTAATACATATTTCATACCACGATACCAGCATAATGGATCCATTTTCAGCAGAAGGAGGTGTGTACGATGCTTCAATGGCAGTGTGACAGTATGGCTAACTTTGCTTCTTCCAAACAAGAGCTCCTCAACATCCACAATGCCTTTTACCAGGGGCAGTATCAGGAAGTAGTAGACTTCGATACCTCATCATTCTCCTCCGAAAACACTCTTGCCGCCCGTATCCTCAAGTTGCGAGCACAGATTGCTCTTGGACAGAGTAAAGAGGTGCTAAAGCTCCTAGGAGCCAAGAGGGATACACCTGAGTTGGATGCCGTTGCGGCGTTGGCACAGCATGTCTCTGGAGACGAAGAAGGGGCTCTGAAACTGGCTGAGAGCCTGGCGGCCAAGCACGAAGATAATGCGGCAGTGCAGGTGCTGGCTGGCCAGGTGTTACATTCACAAGACAGGACTGCGGAGGCACTCGCTCTGTTATCGAAGCATTCTGGAAATCTAGAGGCGTGGGTTCTTCGTCCTCTTCGTCTTTTGCCTGTGATATGAGCATATGGCTAACAACCCAGCTTGATAGTGTCGCTTTGATTGTCCAGATACACCTCCAGCAGAATAGATCAGATCTCGCGCTAAAAGAAGTCCAGGCAGCTCGACGATGGGCACAAGATTCTTTGCTTGTTAACCTAGCAGAGTCCTGGGTGGGCATGAGAGTGGTACGTTGACGCTCATGGAATACAGCACAATATGCAATAATGTTAATACCTGGCTTAAATTAGGGTGGTGAGAAGTACCAAGCTGCATTCTACGTCTACGAAGAACTTGCTTCCGTCCCCAGCACGACTTCCGCATTGTCAATGGTCGGCCAATCGGTGTCTGAACTACACTTAGGCCGTCTTCCGGAGGCAGAAGCCGCGCTGCAGTCCGCTCTCCAGAAGTACCCCGAAGACCCTCAAGTACTCGCAAACTCGATTGTATTAAATACGATCAATGGAAAGGATAAGGAGGAGTTGATAGGGTAAGCTATATAGCAACTGCTGCTCTTTTTGGGCGCTCTGCTAACAGGAAATATAGAAAACTGAGCAAGATCCAACCTGACCATCCGCTCCTTACTGACTTGGAGGAAAAGTCGGCTCTTTTTGACACGGCTGCGGCGAAATACTCCGTCAAGGCCTAGTTATCCTGATTTTATGACATAGAACCTGGCGTTTATTCTTCAATAAATAATGAATTTTACGGTTTGCCCAATATTGTTACCTTCACTTAACTCTACATTTTTTACAGTAGCCTTGGTACTATTGAAATCACTGGGCATTAAGATCTATCAGAAAACTAAGGCACAACACATAGTATCAAAGGAGCTGCTGTCTTCTTCCAATCCTTTTTTGGCTACTGTATCTTCTCCATGAGCCAAAGCCGCAACATGCTGCCCATTCCAGTTTCCTTCTTGGAGCCTAGAATACGGCTGATGATAGGGCCAACATGTGCCTCATCCTTGCAAACCACATACTCGAGATTTGGGACGGCAGACTATCATCAGAAGATTAGCATATATGGTCAAGAAAAATGGGTGTATAGATATATTGACTTACCTTGATCTTGTCAGCGAATTGACCAACCGAATCAAGGAGCACATCATGCTCTCCAACATATAGCAACAGGCACTTGGTCTTGATATCCTTCCACCATTCCGCCGGCGCCTGGCTGGCGTGGTTATAGTTATCCAGCTTCCCGTCCCCGATGAACGCCTTGCCCCAGCTCTCTCCACACTTTATCGAGAGATAATCCCTCTTAGCGTTAGTGGTGTACGAAGGCACATCATCCGCCATCGAAACCCACGGGGCCATGGCAAAGGCACCCCCAAGTTCACCAGATAATTCCAACGGCTTGATAGCTTCATGTGGATGGGAGAGGTGTGAAAGGACGCCCATCGTCAAGTTCCCTCCCGCCGAATCACCGCCGATAAAGACATTCTGAGGCTCACGGCCTGTCTCTTTAATGATGTATCGAAGGGCTTCGACAGCCTGTCGTAGCTGTGTGGGATAAATGCCTTCAGGGGTGAGGGTATATGAGAGGAAGAACATTGCGACGTCCTTGCCGGCTGCGTTGAGCTGCTTGAGCAGATCAGAGTACAGCTGGAAGTAACCCAGGTATGCAGGGAGAGCAAATCCGCCTCCTTCATACTTTTGTCAGTCATGTTATATACAGCTTTGTAGACACAGTTGGTAGACTTACCGTGGTAGTATACTATTACGTTCTTTGCGTCTTTCTTCCCCAGCCAGTGCCCCTGAGCGCCATGCTCAAGCTGCACCGTCTCGGGCTTTAGACGACGGCGCTTCGAGAACCTTTCATAGTTCTGCGCGGTGGTAGGGTAGATAAAGCTATCAGAAACGAGTCAATTGGTATCCTATAAGTAAATGCGAATGAATGAATGCTCGGGCTACTTACTGAAGCTGTCTTATAGACATGCGCCAGAGAAATCGTCGGATGATAGCAAAGCGGATGTGAGTCCTGTATGTCCGGGTGCCATCGTGCTTGCGCACAAGGCCGGTGATAGCTGCAGCGATGCCAGTCGCAAGCAGACCGAGACCAGCGCGCAGCAAGTCGAGCTTCTCTACCACCGTCAGCTTTACGGGGGGGTTGACGGGGATAAGGGCCTTCTCTGGGGCCGACATTGCTGGAGAACTGTGCGATGAATATGGTATTATGGTATTGGATTAAACAGGTAGACAACCGTAGACAGGACCAAGCACATCAATTGAGTATTCTTCTTTCCCCGGAATCGCGACAAAGCGGAGTTACACGGGGTAATATATTAAATAATAGTTATCAGTTACGGCGTTAGGGGTTGAGACCATGACTGGACGTTTTTGCGCGTGTTTAAAAAAAATCCAGGGGCTTCCCGAGGTTCGGCGCAAAGGAAGCTTCACATGAAATGATCAGCAGCCACACCCAGACTTTGGGACTCTGGGGATGCAGCGAGCCTCAGCTAGCGATGGAGCGGGGGAGACAGGCTTGCTGGGTTGTTAAGTTAAAAAATATATTTAGTTTGAGGTGGTCAATTATCTTCATTTTCTCATGACTGGGGGTAAAAAACAACATGCTGCCATAATGGGAATATTTCGTGACGGAAAGCAGAACGAAAAAAACAACGACACCGAAAAGACCGGCTGAGGGTGACTGGAAGCGGGGAAGGGGGAAAGTAATGGCGGCCGTGTAACAGTGAGAATCTAGAGATTCCCGTTGACAGGCCCGTCATCGAGCTCGCAAAAGGCCTTGAAGGTGGTCAAGTCCTTGCCGTCGACTGTGCTTTCGATAACACACTCGGCAGTAGCACCAACAAAAAAGACGTGGCCTTCCTTCATGTCGAAGCTCTTCGCTGGGCCAACGCTTATCTTGCCCTCGCCAGCGGTACAGATGATGATGCTGGGTCCGTTAATGGGCTCGAAGGTCGCTTTGGCACCGGCACACTTGAGATCGGTCTTGACAACGCTGAACTCTTCGATTGGAGGGTCGTACAGCGAGGCCGACGAACCACTGGAATAGGCTGTCGTGTTCATCTTCATGTACGGGTACTCGGTGGGGGTCATCTTCTGCTCCTCGATGGGAGCATAGGAGTACGTGAGCATGCTGGTCAGGGTCGACACGTCCTTGAACTTGGGGGTGAAGCCGGCCCGGACGACATTATCGGAAGAAGCCATGCACTCGACTATGTCTCCGCTGATGTAGGCGTGGATGTCGTCTGCCTTGAGGAACATGGCCTCCCCGGGCTCAAGCTTGATGAAGTTGAGGAAGAAGAGGACGAAGAGGCCGATGTCGTTGGGGAACTGTCCGTTTAAACGGATGACCAGCTGGGCGAGCTCGGATGGGTTGGCTGGGTTATTGTCTGGAGAGGCAGAGGAGGTAGCGAAGCTGTCTGGAGAGCTCTCGGCGGCACTGATGAGTTTCTGTGTAGCGTTGGTGATGGACTCTTGCGACGACTGCATCAGTTTGGTAAAGACTTCTCTGAGTGCCATCTTATTCTTCTGCGTGGCCTCCTCATCTTGGGCCGTCTCCTGGCCGCTGACAGTCTTCTCAAAGGCCTCTGCTGCTTCTGTGCCAACTAGGTCTCGCAGCGGTTCGACGGCACGTAGGAAGTGGACGATCTCGGCGAGCGGACGGAAGCCACAGAGACCCTCAAAGGGAGTCACTGCAATGGTCATCTCTGGCTTGTGGTTGTCATCTGTGCCATGTTAGTAGCCTGTTTACACCCACTGACTGCCCTAGGAGACTTGTAGAATAGTACCTGGGTAGTTCTTTGAGTCCCTGGCATGAAGAGACTCAGCCAGCTTCTTGTTTGGATGGGCCTGGATGCTGAGAGCCTTGCCAATGGACAGGATCTTGAAGAGGAACGGCAGCTTTCCACCGTATCGAGAGACTATCTCTGTCGACATGAGGGCCTTGTTCGTCTGCACCAGGTCAAGCAGCGTCCTCTGGGTCTCGAAATCCTTCGATGGCAGAGAAGGATGTGTCCCCATCCACAACTACAGGCTCTTGTCAGTGAATCAGGCCAGCAGTATCACCGCTAATGGTAATTATGATAAACGCACCTCTGCGTAGGGCTTGTCCGCTTCCACCGAGAAGCCATCTATGGGCGTGGCGGCCGCATACCTGGCCGCGGCGGACTCAGAGCCAACCTTGCCTGTCAGAACAATCTATATATCAGCAATTGGGCCATGGCCAGAGCCACCGACGCATCCGCGAGGCTTCCTGTAACAAGGCGAGGGCGACGAGAAAGGGAAAGAAGGGCGTCCTCACCCCAGTCGTAGCTGTTGACTCCTGTAAACACTGGTCAGAAGGTGCTTTCCCCCTTATTGACTGCAATAACACAGAAGAAGAAGAAGAAGCTCACCACACTGGAGACGAAAGAGAGGAACCTGCATGTCTACAGCTCTAAGCGGACTCGATATCGTCTTGTCTTATGTTGATGAAGAAACAGAAGAAGGAGAAGGAGAAGAGAGACAAGCAGTCGACTTGTCAACAACAGCGAACTACATCATCGCCGGAGGGGCAAGTTTACTAGCAAGAGATGGACGCAGACAACCTTCAGCCACAGGCGGCCGACGGCGCGCCACAGCAGCGAGTCTTGGTGCGGCTCCGGCTGCCGTCTCGACCGCCGCAGCTCCAGCAGCAAACAGCGCAGACGGAGCAGACAGAGCAGCCAGAGGAGACAGCGGAGGAGATCCAGGACAGCCAACAGACAGCGAGGCCAGCTACCGTCATCGACTCGGTGGCGCAGGACGAGCGGATCCGCGGGACGGCCGGTGACGCTGATGGCATCCATGATCCAGCGCCAGCAGCATCAGCAGCAGCAGCAGCAACAGCAGACGACGACGGCGAAGAGATAGTGACAGGGACGGCGACGGCGACAGTGAAAGCGAAACGCTTGTCGCGGCATAAGAAGTCAGAGAGCGGTAGCTACTACAACGCCAGAACCTCTCGCAGTCGGCCTCTGACGGTCCATAATCTGTTCCCTTGGGAAGCATTGCAGCTACAGCAAGACCACAGCGGGCCTGCCGTCATCAACATGTCTCGCAACCGCCCGCGAGGCCCAGCGACGAGAGAGAACGGGCTGGCGGCGGACGAAGAGGTCGAGATGTGGAATAAGATATGTCAGGATATCCGAAAAGCCGCCGAAAAGAACGAGAAGCAGCGGACCATTGGCCTGCAGATTGCCGCTCTCAACGAGAAGATTGCGAAGAACGGGAACAGTACGTTTTATTATCTCTCTCTTCTGTTCTTCCTTTTTTTTCTCCTTCTCCTTATATCTAATTGCTACGGTGTTGCTAATATACCATTGTAGAACCAACCTTGGCTGAGATAGACCATTTGGACAGCCTTCACCGACAGCAGCTGAAGCTGAGCGCGGAGGAGAGAGCCATCCTGCAGGACGAGCCGGCGGATGTTACCAAGAACCTGGGCATCCTGATAGCGCTCCGCTCGGCGTCAGAGGCGGCTGACCCCCAGAGTCGGTCTCTCTCGCAGGTCAAGTCTCGCAAGCGGAAGGGGGACGTCGACCTGGCCTCGACCGAGTCTCCTGCGCCCTCGTCCTCAGGCGTCTCATCAGACAAGCTGAACCGGATCAAGGGCGGCGCCCAGCGCAGCACCAGCGTGTCCAGCAGCCACCGCGGCGACACTGCGTCGCTAGACAACGGCGTAGAGGGAGGCCGCCCGTCCGACAGAGCTGACCATTTTGTCATCGGCGCCGAAGTTGTCTTCAAGCATAACAAGAAACAGCAGGGCGTCGAGGGCGAGGGCATCCAGTGCATCATCAAGAACATCACTGGCGAAGGAAACAAGAGACGGTATGGCTTGGCATCCCGTTAATATTTTTTATCTGCTCTCAAGTTGGTTGTGGTTGACTAGGTAATCTATGCGCTGCTCTACTGACAAGTGACGTGACTCCTAGGTACGATGTGCAAGATCCAGAACCGATCGAGAACGGCGCGGAGGGCGCCATCTACAAGACCACGGCGGCCTCGCTGATCCACATCCCCAAGGCCGGCTCTCCGCTCCCCCAGTTCCAGGTCGGCAAGCAGGTGCTGGCCCGATACCCAGACACAACGACCTTCTACCGGGCAGAAGTCATGGGCCTGAAGAAGGAGGTCTACCGCCTCAAGTTCGAAGGCGAAGAGGACGACAAGGAAATGGAAGTCGACCGCCGCTACGTCCTGGACATCCCCAGCAAGTGATCCACCCTTTCGTCTCTCCCACGTTTACTTCTATCTTTATCCCTTTTATCTCTACGGAGCATGGCTCTCTTAGTTACCATCCTATCTTTACGGTCTTATATTGGAGTTGCTGGAGCCACGGCTTCTTCTACTACTACTTTTGTTTATATCCTCCTCTGCAGGTGTTGGGGGCTAGATCTCTTGCATGGCTTTACTCCTATTATCATCTAACGCGTCTGGACATTCTTTCCGTGTATTATTAACAATCATATCTAAGAAATGAATAAGCCATCGTCATCTTTCTCTTCGTCTTTCTCTTCATCTTCCAATAACACTTTTTTTAACCTTTTTAACCTTTAAGCCTTACTTCTCTTGGCTTTCTTGGCATAGCAGAATGTTCTGGTGATGACTAATCCTTCAAGGCTCCGGCAGCCGAGGCTTTGCTTTTTGCGCCCGAAGGGAACGAGAGAAAAGAAACATCCAAACTCGCTCGTGCAGGAGAAGAAAAGACAATAGATAAAGGAGTCCAAAGACGAGACGAGAGAGACGCGCAAGGAACCCGGAACTCTCCTCTTGCCAGCCAGCGCCCCTTACAAACTACAACTCGCGATGCCTTCGCCGTCCACCCACGCTTCTCCCTTTATCGCCCCGCGGCCCTTCCGCCCTCACGTCACCGAGTACTCCCTCACGCAAGAGACCGCTCCGAATCCCAAGAGTATACCCTTACCGTCGATGGCATATGCCGGGGACAGAGGCAGCGACGGCAATCGCATTGATGCCGATGCCTATACCACTCCGAATGGCGCCACGACTCCGGCATTGCCGCCATCCATAATATCTCCCGCCCTCTCGCCCTCGTCTACTCCGATCTCTGCCCCGGACGGCACCAGCACCAGTCCCGACACGGGCAGCGTCTATCCTGCCATTCTAACACCACGAACTGGCTCAGCGGATCAGCGCACACATTCCAAGCCTCCCCGGTTACTCCCGCGTCTACCGAAGGTAGAATGTATTGTTCGTGCCCGTATACCGACCACCTCCGGCGCAGAGATGTTTCTGCACCTGTACCAGAACGACGTTGATAACAAGGAACATCTTGCCATTGTGTTTGGCAATTCAATCCGCAGCCGCAGTTTGGATAGAGTGCGAGATGGCGAGACAGAGATGGACCGGATGATCAGAGGTGCATACGTAGGCAGGCTACGGCCCGGCCGCCAGAGCAGTCGATACGACGAGGCTACCCCGTCGTCCATAGATACACGGCGTCCCTCACAGGCTCCGCTCGTCAGGATACACTCGGAGTGCTACACCGGCGAAACAGCATGGTCTGCTCGGTGTGATTGTGGCGAGCAACTAGACGAGGCTGCACGTCTCATGTCAGAGCCCACGCCTGCCCCTGCACCTGCGACAGGTGAAGATACAAACGCCGCCGAACCCGGGGGTGTGATTGTCTATCTGCGTCAGGAAGGGCGTGGCATTGGCCTCGGAGAGAAGCTCAAGGCATATAACTTGCAAGATCTCGGTTCGGACACCGTCGAAGCCAATCTGCTGCTTCGCCATCCTGCCGATGCGCGCAGTTATGGCCTAGCAACTGCTATCCTGGTTGATCTGGGGCTGGGACAGGACTCGTCCAACGGCGGTATACGGCTGTTGACAAATAATCCGGACAAAGTGGCCGCTATAGAGGGCCCGAATAGAGAAGTGGTTGTTCAGGAGAGAGTGCCGATGGTACCGCTTGCATGGAAAACAGGCGGTGCCAAAGGGATTAAAAGCGTTGAGATCGAGGGATATCTTCGGACCAAGGTCAGTTAGCCTGTTGATTGATTTCCTTGTCTGCGTTATCAGCCACTAACGTATGCATATAGATTGGGAAGATGGGCCACATGCTCGAATAGATCGTTGTCCCTTATATTCACCCCTACATACTGTCATACGTTCATCACAATTCGCCATCTACTTATCGTCACCCTTCCATCTACTTTCTAAAGACTATCTCCCCAGCATCTTTCACATTTACAGCGAGTCTTCTTCTTACTCTTGTTACGCGTGTTAATGAATCCCTAAAGTTTCAGCCTGTTTTATCTATTCTTGATTTTTTGACCCGCCATCTCACCAGGCCGGGAGCAGCTTTCCAACTTGCAGTCAGACAGGGCCTGGCCAGCTCAACGGCCGCTGACTATCTTTAGACTTAATGATGACCAAATTTTTTTCCTTTTTATTTTCCTATAGTTACTTAGAAAGATTGGCTGTCTGTTTGCTTATCGGAGGCATCTCTCTCAAATTCAAGCGGTCTATGCTTTACCTAGGTAGCCAAAGGTGCAGATATTGTCCATGCATTGGCAGAGTTGTCTGTGATATAGACACCTGCAGAAACGTCACCTCAAAGGGGAATTATAACCTACCCGCAATTCCCATGTTGGCGCCAGAATTGGCTAGATATTATTACCATCTCGCCACCCTGAAGGAATAAGTACGGATAGTAAGTCTTTGTCGCGTAAGTCCCGCCGGGATAAGTAACGAGATCTAGGCTGGGGACTTGCAAGCCATCCAGCAAAGCGATCGCGCGTCTTCACACCTTTTGCACGCAGGAGCTCGGAGATCTCTCTCTGCCCGCGCGAGGTCGCTTGAGAAATAGGAGCCCAACCTTTAACAAGAGTGTTGGGACCAGCACCTTTGTTCAGTAGAGCTTCTACAATGATTTTATCTTCTTCTTCGATAGCCAACATCAATGGTGTCATGTCTCTGGTAGTCGTGTTAGGGTCCGCGCCCCTTTCAAGAAGATCTTGACAGATACTGGCCCGTTCCTCTTGGATTGTGTGTAGTAGGGGTTTCAAATAGTCAATATTATATCTCGGCTCCAGATCAGTCCTCCCCGTTTTCGGTAACTTGGCTCTCCAATTGCGGGAAGGAGAAATATTCGACTTCGGTTCTTCACTTGCAAACGTATGGCATATGTTAGGATGCGCGCCATGTTCAAGAAGGTCTGAATATAATAACCAGCTCCTCATCTCGATCAAGCGGTATAAGGGTGTCCGATCGCGAGAATCTTTAGTGTTAGGATCTGCTCCAGCCTCAAGAAGAGACCGAACCATTTGTGAGCGGACCTCGCATGTCGCTATAAATAAAGGCGTCTGACCAGCCGAATCTTTCTGCTTGATGCTCAGTTTTCCGGTTCCTTTTAGCAGATCAAACATCTCCACGTTCCCTGTTTTTGCTACATAATGCAGAAGCGTTCTACCGTGTTTATCGGTTCTAGTCACGTCTGCCCCCTTCTGAATAAGGAACTTAGCCATGGCCACAGCATTCTCCTCCACTGCAAAATGCAGTGGGGTTTTTTCCATTTCATTATCAGACAGGTTGATGTCCGTTGCTTCCTCGAGTAATTGTTGCACTATTGTTTGCTGGTTTTTGATAACAGCAAAGCGTAGAACCGACTGACGGCTAGCATTCCTCTTCACGGGAAAGCTATCAACATCCATAGCCTCGATGAGCCCATCCCCGCAGATATCTACTTGATTGAATAATATTCTGCGGGTAGCATCCGGTCCATAAACTGCCATATGGTGTATCAAAGAGAATTTGTTTCTGCAAAAATCCCTGATGACACTATCGTCAAGTGGTGGATAGGAAATATCGTGTCCTAGTGCTTTTGCTAACTGCAGTGGCGTCCATCCATAGGTGTCTTCTGTGTCTAACTCAACACCGTGATCATAGAATAGACGCATGACTTCTTTGACATTGGATACTGCAGCGCAATGAAACGGAGTCCAGCAAATCTTATCATCTCGTATTTTTCCGCTACACCCATAGACGAGTAGAAGCAACTCAACGATTTCGGCATTCCCTTTTAAGGCCGCAAAATGAAGAGGCGTCCACCCAAACGTCGACGTTGTAGCCTCGATATCAGCACCTGCCGTGATCAGGGATTTAACCACTCCTTCATGCCCAACATAAGCTGCGAGGTGCAAGGGCGTGAGACCTTTCCTGTTTTCCCATTTTATGCTAGCCTTCATCTCCGTTATCACCATAAGGAGTTTTTGAACAACGTCCTCGTGTCCTTGCTCAGCCGCCAGATGTAGAGGTGTGTTTCCGTAATAATCTTGAGCTTGTAGTTCAAACCCTGCCCGCAAGAGTATGTCGATGGTAGTTAATGAACCGCCAAAGGCAGCATAATGTAGCACCGTTCTCCCAGCAGAGTCAGGACAAGGGACGACATCCGGTCGCGAGATCAATAATTCCACCGTTTTGTAGTTGCCTCGTTCAGCTATCAAATGTAGTGGCTGCCTCCCTTGACTATCCTGTCTATTGATATCCTCATTTTTGAAAAGCGTTCGGTAATACCCTATCCAGGCCAGCTGATGTATATCTTCCCAACTTCCACCACTACCGACCATACCTATAACACGTGCCCCATTTTTAGCAGATTGTTTTTGTGAATGGCCTTGAATAATTACACGCTTGTATTCGGAGGTGGCTCTCGCAGAGCGGAGGTTATCTTCGGACAAAGGTGGGTTAAAGTTGAGGACGCCGATATATGTATATACCACTTTGTCTGTCACGCTCCGGACTTGCTTGACTAAGAGAGCCCGCCTTAGTCCTTTCCTTGAGATGACAGGGCGATCGATAGCTGATTGCTCTACCAAGATTATGCAATCATCTGTTTCTCGAAGGTGTTGTTCCAGTTTGTTTTGCGTATAGCCCCGTAAGTGTTCCCAGGCAACATGTTCCTTAAGCATTTTTGGGTTTGGAATATGGATGCACTCCCAAAGGCCTATCACATCCATGTTCTGGTCGACTTCAAGCTCCTCACCATGTTCTGCAATTGGCATTTCAAGGAGGGTTCTCGGGCACCAGCTCTCCCCGCCAGCCATTGTAGCAGTGTTGTGAAAGAGATGGCCGGGGTAAATCCGGCCAATTCTAACCATCACCCGGCGGAAGATTTCTTGCTGTAATATATCCCCCTCCTCATAATCAGGCTCAACATCAACACCCAAAAGAAGGCCGGAAATGACCGCCATATCCTTAGGCCATGAAGTGTGGCGATGCCGTAGAGTGTTCACAAGCCCGTTAAGGTCTGAAATACCCTTTCGAAGATCTCTTATCATCTGGCACGCGGTCCAATGAGAAGGATGAGTGGTTTTGTTAATGTTGGCCAGAATGTCATAATCAAGGTCTTTGATAACAGGTCCCTCCGTCCCTTTAAAAATAACCTTCACTCTTAGCGATTTTGCTAACTCCAGAGCAGTCCAGCCACGGCTGAACCAAGGTGATAGCAAAATCGCAATGCATGCACTCTCAGCGCCATCCCATGTCCACTCTCGAAGGAAAACATCATGGACTAGAGTTACTCGTGCATTCTGGTAGTAGCAGTCCATTGTTCGGATTGCAACCGTTCTGGCGGCTTTATCTAGCGGGGTACATAATGTATCCCACCAAATCCCTTCGCAGTGAAACCTATACGCAAGCCTTCGGAAGAATGAATAGAGGCATTCGTTAACTTGTCCAGCTGGCCAATTACCCGTTCCAGTTCCATCGGACCAAACATGGGAAATAGCCATGAACGGTTGAGAAAGCGGGACTGTGTTAGTCCCTTCGAGGTTCCACACCGTAGAATTTCCGGCGAGCGCACTTTTCATCAGAATTTGCTCATCAAAAAAGCCTTTCAACGGTTGGCATTTATTGTCTAGTTGCCAATTATATCCTGAGCATTCATGACGTTGTTTGACGTTGGTAAAATTGCGCGTAGAGAGCTCACAGAAGTCGTCGCTACATTTCTGGTGGCGTTTATCCCTTATGAAAGGTTGATCGATCGGTAGAAGGTTGGCGAAAACAGACCACACGCGAGTAGGGCAGAGTCCGTAGACTTTTGTAGCGGCTTCAAAGTCTTTTGAAAATCGGCGTTTCTGCTCCAGATCCGGCTTGCCTGGCTGTTGAGGTAATAGGACCTTCTGTTTCTCGCTCATCTTAATGGTATTCAATGGAATTGGGGCTGACACAGCTCGATGATGATTGAGAGTTGCAATTTGAAGACGCGAGTGTAAGAATACTACTCGAGAGGTAAAACATTGACAGACCTGATATCTAGCTGATGCTTCGGGCTGTGGGGCTCTGAACGAGAAGCTGCCCAAGTTCTTCAGCAGTAGAGCAATGTTCTAAAGAGAATGAAAGTTTGGAACAGTCAAAGATATAGCTGGCATGGTTCCAGCTATAATTGATAGTTATGTAGTGCCCTATATTTAGGAGTACATACAGTAGAAAGTAAATCAGAGCCTGACGCCACCGGCGGTAAAATCCCCGTACGCACAGAGTACTTGTGAGGGGAAGTTAGGGGGAAGGATTCTGGTCAATGCGAGCGAATCAAGCTTTGACAGTGGTCATGATAGGTTGCACACATTCCGGATGTGCTTCTGTCAATGCCGCACTCTAATAATAGAAGAAGGCCGAAACGCCCAAACACCAAAGTCATTAAGATCCTGTGTATAGCCGCCGTCGTGAGAGGCAGCCTGATTTTGCGCTTGGACATAAATGATATATCAACGGTATTCATTGTTGCAGACAGTTGATCCGCAGGCATCAGAAAGTACGTCGGACCGTCACAGACTTGATATACTTGATACTTGATATTCCGAGTAGAAACTGTGATAGCAACAACGAGACCGGGGAAGCTGCGTTAAAAACCAACACTCCACGTGACCAAAGCTCAAGTTTATTGTGTCCAATCAGCTTCCCATATTTCGAGATTTGCGCGCATGCGAATCTTGTCGCTTAGCAGAAAGTCCGTATCGTCCAGCCTCGCATTGGTAGGCGTCCTCAAAACTGGGACGACGGGGTGCAGCAAAGCAACTTCAAATAAAGGTCATAATATCAGTCGGAAGGTTCTCAGTCAAGACTAGTCATGCCAGTACACTGACTACCATGGCGAATCTGGTGGTGACCTACTGTAATGACGAAGGCTGAAGAACTTCAGATACAAATTCTAAGCGCCTATCAAAGGATGCTGGGAGATGAACATCCTATAACACAGAATAGTATGTTAAATCTAGCTTCAACGTACAGAAGCCAGGAATTACTGAAGAAGGCTGGAGAATTTGGACCTAAGGTCCTTGGGCAAAGGGAGAAAACGTTCCAGTAGGTCAAGGTCATCCTGATACCCTCCTAGCTATGCCACATATTGTATCAACATATTTTGCCCAGAGTTACTGGAAGCGGGCAGAAACCCTCGGGATTAAAATCTTGGAGAAAAGACATCAGCTCCTGGGCTGCGGCCATTCCAACACTCTGGCGGCGATGGCTAATATTCGGTTGTCTATTTAATGTATCTTATACCTAGGCACTTTATTAACTATTTAGTTAGCTAGTTATGGCAAAGAGATCTTCCAGTTGGTGGTCCCTTGCCTGCTTAACTTAGGTAGTTGCTGCGATGTTATTTATGTAGATCTCGGGATCAGGCCTACATCCCAACTACATGTTCATGTTGGTGTGCTTTATTCTCCACTTTCTTCCAATTAAACAATCTGACTATCGATTTCATTCTATATTTATCGCAGCTGTGTATCTACAAGATACCGAGGACTAGTCGAAGACATGGCCAGGGAAATCACTTCCTCCCCTTTGCAAAGAAGAGAGTCTGCTTCCCACCCCAGGCCTCGGGAACAGTCATCTTCTCCTTCAGCACCGTATAGTCGCTCTCCTTGCACCCTGCATTCTTGAAAAATCCATGCATCTCCTCCCCGGTGAACCCGCTGTGCGACACCGTATGCGCAGCAGGATGATCGATGTTAGCTAAATTAAACTGCTTTCCTGTCTTCTCCCAATCGGCAACTACCACAATGCCACCTGGTCGAAGACGCTCGATGAACCTGTTAATCAGCTTCTGCGGATCGTCGACATGATGCAGCGCATGGACAATAATGATAAGATCAAAATTAAAGAACTCCTCCCCGGCAATAGAGGAAGTGCCTTCAGATTCAGTCAGATTACCCTGGACAGCGTATATCTGGGATTCCGGCAATTTCTCCTGGCGAGCTGTTTGGTTGAACTTGTCGACCATGCCCGTAGCAGCGTCGACGCCGATACATTTGGAGAAGTAAGAAGTGAAGAACTGACGCGCATTGGTTAGTTGGGTTACCGTATACTGTAATTAGTTGAAAAGCAGTCATGGCTTACCCGAGAGATGTATCCTTCACCACAAGCATAGTCCATCATTTTGCCCTCCAGTTGACCATCACTTGGGGGATGGGCACCGAACCAAGATAGGTTCTCCTGTAGATGCTCACGGATTTGCTTTTGACAAGAGAGGACCCATTCGGAGTTAAACGCAGTAGAGGCGGCAGAACTATGTATAACGTTCTTAGTGTCTGGAGTGGACAGCACTTGAAACAAAGGAGAAATGGGCTCGTACCTCCAATACTCTCCATTGACCTGGGTATGGTTGTGGCCGTGGCCGTGATGGTGATGGTGATGTTGATGGTCTCCGGACATGGTTGGCTCTATCGGGTGTTAAGCGATGTTGGCAGAGGATTAATATTGGTGATTGTATGCTCTGTGCTGAAGGTATGCTGTCAAGGGGATGTCTGCTATCTTGGAGAATTGTTTAGGACACAGCGGTGCTTCATGGCCCTTTTATACCCCAGACTCATCCTCTTTATCGTCCATCACTAACCCCGGAGACATTTTCGAATTGTCTCCGAGGATCATTATTAATTCTCTTGGTTGTTTTAGTTACGTCTGCATGGCCTGGAATTTGGGATTATGGGGCGTCTGCGCCTATAAAATGCGGCTCCAACCTTGTTGGTTACCTAACTACCTGTTGACTGGTTATTTTGATTATTTGCCGCCTGGAGGCTCAAGACATACCAACTTCTTGCATAGGCTATTCCGTGCCATTATAAGATCTCCGAGTTACAGGCACTCAAATAATTATCATGAGCGCTTGAATTTACCTCTGCTCTGTTTGATCGAATGTATTGAGCACCGGGGGGCGGATGCGCACAAGGTGCTTTTGACACCACAGACTGAGCTGCAAGGGCTTGCATATGGCTCCGAAAAGTCTCCGCGCTATGCATATCGCGCGACAAATGCTCCACCAACGTCATGCGGTTGATATGTTGCAAATACACATAATAGAGAACTGATATGTATTATATATCAAAAACGCCGTGTACCTTGAGGCATGAACTTATCTATCATGGCCAGGGCGTTCCAAGGTTTTCAAATGTTATTGTTGTCACGGTATGGATCAGAGAAAGATGCCTAGATTGATTAGATTAGATAGGGTCGAAGCGCCAAGCCAGGGCGCGCCTCACAAAACTAAAGTTAAACACGTGATATGGCCCGAGGTTTCTTTTTTCGGTGACCGCCTGGGACGAACATAAAGCGTGAGCGGGACGAACGAACCCTGCATCTTCTTCCAAGGTAGGTAGTTAACTGACTGGTCGCGCTTAGATGGAGGACCGTACAGAGGAAATGATGGGGATGGAGACCTCCCCAGCTGCCCCGACAGACGCGGCGCACCAGGCCTCACGCATCAGCATGTTCCGGAAGAACGGCAAGCCTACTTCGTGTGAACCATGCCGTATCTCAAAGGTTAGATGTGACCATGTAATGCCCATCTGTCAGCGGTGCGAGAAGAAAGGGATAGCCGATAAGGTAATATGCCCCTTTTTATATCTGGTATGGAATATTAACCGGCTGTCTAGTGCTACTACCACGAGGCGCCTTTGACTAGGGTTAGGACTGGTCCAAAAACCAGGAATAGAGTCACCAAGCCACAAACCTACGGTCTTATTAGAGCATGTACCCTGAGGCGGCGTGGTTCTGATACCGAGGATGCTCTTCTTAAATACCCAGCCTCCTCAGAAGAGAAGGCAGATGGTGGTACCACCATCCAAAATGCCTATCTTGGATCAACCAGCTTCATCTCTGTCTTCCAGGAAACCCCATCGGGATTCTCCAGCTGCTCTGTCCTATCACCACAAGTAGACCTGGGGCAATGGGGCTATGATGCTGCGTATACAGAACTCAACTTGGCCCGACTTCTCTCCGCCTTTGACCTGTACGAGAAGCTGATTATTTCTTTCTATGAAAAATGCAACCTCACTATTATTCCGATGAAGTTGATTATTGCCCCTCTACGGGTTACTAGGGCTTACTTTGATGCTGGTGGATGGCTACAAGAGTCACGGCAGCGGGAGCTGTACGCGAAGATAACTCAGAACACGGCTCGCCCACTTCAAATTACCGGCACTTCATCGCTTGAAGACTTTAGCGCTCTGTTTGCCGGAGAGAATCTAAGATGGGAGTTTGTTGGAGTAATCTATTGCCTGGCTGGGCTTAGCGCTATTTCAGATCATGTTCTTGCACAAACGCCTTACCCTCCGATAGACGAGGTTCCGGACAGGGAAAAATTTGCAAAGGAGATGGCTGCTGCATGTAATAGTTGTTCACAACTATGCAAACGATATGACAACTGCAACGACGTAATGCTTTGGTTACACTACACCTACGCAGTGCTATCATCGGATGTCCTAGGAGAAACAAGTAAATACATTCCCCTATAGACCCCCCCTTACTTTATCGAGAAACGATTACTGAGCAATTAGGCCACCATGTATACGCGGTTTTGGGCAACTTGGTAACTGATATATACGGTATGGGCCTTCATCGATACAAAAACCCGGATTCGGACGTACCATTTTTCCTTTCAGAAGTGCGAAAGAGGTTGGTTGCAGCTACATACCGAACAGACAAAAACATATCCACATTTTTGGGACGGCCCCCACGTCTCCCTTACCACTATTGTGATGCATCCCTTCCTCTCGACATTGATGATGATGAGCTTTTCCTTCAAGGCGACGAGCTTGACAGGGTTCTACAGAAACTTACCCACGACGGTTGGAGCGCTGAAGCAACCTCAAATGGTAAGATACGGCCGGTAACCGCTATTAGGATGCGTTACTTCTCCTCAATTTTTCGGGAGAAAGTATTGAGACTGTCTCTTGGACGAAAAGGGGCCAATTTCTCCCATGACCTGCAGTAAGTGCGCTGCCTAGTCATGTTTACTCCCGGAACCATGATAAATTTAACATGTAGCTATTTAGGGAGACGTACCAAGAGTGCAAACGGATGCTGGACGGAGTTCCGGGCTGGTTCCATTATAGAACCGACTGCTGGGAAAAGCTCGACTCGGTTACGTGCATTGTGAGCCTTGTTATTTACCTTGAATGCATACATACCATGTTTCAGATTGAACGCATACGCTGTCGGGAAAACCAGGGCTCAATAAGGGATCTTCTTGACAGCTCGATGCAGGCCGTTTCTGCTGTGATAGACTTCACCAAACAGGGGGAGAAGAAGGGTAACAAGGTTTGGAAAGACTTTGCTTGGGTGGTAAGTTCATATAATATCCAGGTTACCCACGGCTGTATACGATGTAAAAAAAAAAAGAAGTGATATTAATATATAGGACCCTTGCGAATAGTTTTTACTCTATGCTCTACCGACTGCGGGTGTCCTCGCAATCGAACTGCATCGATGCACGGTCACTGAAACCCCCTTATCGTCCAGTGCACCTCGGTCAGAGGTCGTTCGCAACCTTAGCACGATAGTTTCATGGTTTGAATGTACTGACCTGCCAGTTAATGCGACACATAACACTTGCGTGGAGGTCAGTAAAGCTATCAATAAGCTTCTGGATGATACGCTCAATTACCAGCCTGGTACTGGCCAGCGGCGAATAGGAGCTGAGCAAGGAGTCACTGAACTAACCGGCCCCTCTGTGATGCTTTCAACTACCACTGGTACTACCAGCATAGGAGACGCCGATACCGCGAAAAACACTAAGCCCTACGACTTGGGGGTTCCAGTGTTGCACCCCGAGCCGTTTGGCAACGATTTGACCAATGGTATTTCAATTGGAACCGGCGAAAGCTTTCTCACCTGGCTTGATGGGCTTGGGATGGACACGTCCATCCCAGAGTTTCTGCTATGATCGCACTGGCATTACAAGTTCTGTATCGCAAAGTCACCCCCTGCCAACGCATCTGGTATCACTTTTCTAGCGTCATAACCAGGCCTGGAGCATGCCCCTCCTTCCACTAGAGGAGGGCCCCGGTTTCGTGGCTATATTTTTTTTCCTACTTGAGGCTGACGGCAGTGGGAACTTTTGAGTTGTACGGAGTACAGTCTGGGCTCTGGACCGGCCTGTGAGATAGGGTAACGAAGCCTGATGGCCGTGTGTCTACGACAAATCGGGGTAAGGGTGGCCATCCAAGACGCCTCGAGGAGGTGTCTTGCCGGCCAATATATGCACGGCGTACGAACACTGCAGGACCGGGTCGACCGACTGCCTGCAGCAGCTAAGCACTTGAGCCAGAGAGAGGGATCAACGGCCGGGCTCTTGGGACCTCATTCGTCATCTCTGCGGTGTCCCTATCCGAATGGCTTGTGCTATTATTGCTTTGGGGGTAGTAAGATTCGCATTCCTTTTTTACACGGAGTTTATCTTCGACTTTTCAAGCCTTCAGGCTTTAGACGAGACACGACTCTGGGTTAAAACTCAGCCATCACCATGTTGATCCCAGTCAATCGAATTTTGGCTCGAACCGGCTTTCCTTGCATGCCGACAACTAATTATCGCGGTAGTCCCTATGTCATGTTTATCCCGCAGGCACGACTCTGATCTGAGAATATTTTGATAGAGATCAGCCGGTAACGTCAACAAGACGGCATATCTGCCAAAACTATCGGTGCCTGCTAGCATATTAACGTATGTAACAACCTGTATTCGACGTCTCTGCTGCCTATATTAGTCGAAGTAAGTTCGGCTTGAGTCGTTATCTGCCGTCGAAGTCTGCAAGATGCAGCTAAAAATTCGCTCCCTCGCCCCTAGCTGAGGACGAAGAGGAGGCCCCCCAAGTCGACGGTGGCGCTCTAATAAGACCAATCATGAGGACTGACCGTTCCATCTCTGGGGCTGGCGATAGTTAAAGCGCCTCTCCTGTCCCTAGAAGGCCAGGTGAAGACCGCTGCCCGACTTCCCGGATCTATCTTCGAATTCCCAGAGTCCTGTGTTGGCTTGGGTGGAAAAAAGAAAAAGGAACCCAGAATCGTGGATATCGAACTGGCAAGCAACCAAGGCCGTTCAGGGGGCTGGATTTTAGCTTCAGGCGACCTCGTCTCTCTCGTCTCCGTCTTGGGAGGAACCGAACTATCTTGCCATCAGCAAAAAAACGAGTTTGCTGAAGTTGCAATTAAATAACGACATCCTCTGTCCGGTTCCTGGGAGAGCCCCAGTCGCACATTACGCATCCATAGTTGCATGCATGCTCGTTGGTCGTGGGGGAAGAAAGCGGACGAACGCAAGTAACAGCCCTACGTCACGACGAAGGATCAAAGAATCACCATGGCCGGACAAGTGTCACCGGCCTCGGAGATGGTATCGGGTTGCGACTCGCCCTCAGTGAAGCAGGAATGCGTAGCTTCCCCCGGATCTGCACCTGGCCCCGGTGCTGGGTCGGGTGCTGGTGCTACGGCGACTGCAGCACCAACGACAGCATCAGCGGAGCCTGCAATGCCTGGCAAGAAACGAGCGAGCACATCCTCACGAGGAGTCGCTAACCTCACGGCGGAACAGCTGGCGAAGAAACGGGCGAACGACAGAGAGGCACAGCGGGCTATTCGAAAGCGGACGCGGACACAGATCGAGTTACTGGAGCAGAGAGTGCGTGAACTGACTTCGCTACAACCATATCAGGATTTGCAGGAAGCCCTGCGGCAGAAACACATGCTACAAGCAGAGAATAATGAAATCAAGCGAAGACTTGCCTCTGTCATGGCAACTCTCCAGCCGATTCTCAACCATCAGTCGGGCTCACTGGCATCGACAATACCACCCTTGAGCCCTCACAGCGAGATTCCACCCCCGAGAGCCCACGGGCCCAGTTCCACTCCCCATACAGATATTCCTCCAACTCCACCGCCGCAGCCAGACTACCCAGGTTCTCAGCATCAGGGACCACTGCAGGGAGAACCATCTGACAGACGCCTACGGAACCCCGCGAGCGCTGAATCTACAAACGGCGCTGGTACCTATGCGAGCTCTCCTGCAACAAGCGTGAGTCCGTCTCCGTCAGCCTCCAGCCAGGTACATAGTCACCGACAAAGCTGGCACCAGAACCCTCCCACTCGAAATCCCGACCATGTATGGCCACCACAAAACCAACTCTTTGACTACCAAAAGCGCAATCTTACGCATAACTTGGAGCTTTCGGGGAACGGCGAGCGATTGGGGCTGAACTTCCTCCTGGATTCGACTCAGAACGTCCCCAAAATCAACGACTTCCGCCTTACTGCTACCGCTTCTTCCACCAATGGACCCTTGTCCTATAACAGTCGCTTGAACGCTCCCTCATACGGCGATTCAGGCATGTGTCCGCACTCCATACCCATCCGAAATGTCGAGCCTACTTGTCCCTTGGATGGCATTCTTCTTGATTTCCTTCGTACCCGGCAACGAGAAGCAGCCGAAGGTGTCCCGAATAAACAGCTTGTTGGCCCTCCTTACCCCAGTGTCTCTTCCTTACTGAACCCGGCCAAAGGAATTTATTCACACCCGCTTTCAAAGGTTTTCACCGATATTCTCAGCAAGTTTCCAAATATTTCGAACCTCCCGGAGCAGGTAGCAGTTTTATACGTCATGTTTCTACTTATGAGGTGGCAGATATACCCAACCCGTGAGAACTATGACCGTCTTCCCGAGTGGATAACACCACGGACGTCACAGATCGTAACACCCCATGCGGCCTGGATCGACTACCTGCCATGGCCACGTATGCGGGACAGAATGGTTGCTTCATATTCGGACTATGACTTCTCCAACTGGTTTATCCCGTACACAACGGGACTCAGTCTCAACTGGCCCTATGAACCAACCGATACCCTTCTAGCCACAAATGACTCCGATGAGCTAATAATAAACCCCGTCTTCGAACGGCACTTGCGTGACCTGAACAATTGGTCTTTGGGGACCCTCTTTGCAAGTACATACCCCCATCTAGTTGACACAACCAAGATCATTCCTGAGTCCAATTCTCAGAACAAGAGCCGAAATAACGGCGCTTGATCTTTGTACTCTTACATTCCTTCCGGTAGCCTACTTAGGCTTTTCCTTATATATTATCATTCATATGCTTTCAGCGGGGGAGTTGGGGTTCACCATTTGATTCAACCGTGGAGTTTATGTCATGTTGGAGTATATACAGCAGCGATAGCCAGACGTTGATATAACCGAAGAAACGGCGTCGTCTTGGAGTTGGTAGATATCTATTAAGCATACCTTTAGCCTGCTATCAGCGTTAACAAAGTTAAATTCACACCTCGCACGTCTCACAATGTTAATATAACACTCAAAACAGTATGCCTATGTCTATCTATATCCGTGACATTATATATACAGAGGAAAACCGCGCTAAACCCAATCGGGCGGCAACGCAACGAACTACGCAACATCTTCAAGTCCAAACATCGCGGGCATCCACACGATCAGACTGCGTGAACAAACAACCCGGCGTAGGCGGTCCAGCGTTGATATTCACTGTTTACAAGCTCTCTGTACGAGATAATTATCCTCCCAAAGAAGCACCTACGCTCACCTCAATCCTCTAGAAGATGGCGGAGCCTCCAATCGGTACATACCCCCTCCTCATAGATTGTCATATAGTCTCGTCTGCTAATTGCGATGCATTATAGTCCTCGATGGCGGAACGGGTTTCCTGAAAGTCGGATATGCCGCGCAGGTAGAGACTCCCGCGAGACGCCGTTCATTGATCTGGAAGAAGAGCAGCTGCTAATTGTATATCTCCCCGCATCAACAGAACTTCCCAGAGCACCAGTTCCCATCGATAGTCGGACGTCCAATCTTGCGAACGGAAGAACAGGCCGGTGACATAGTAGTCAAGGATATTATGTGCGGAGATGAGGCTGCCGCCGCCAGGTCTATGCTTCAGATCTCCTATCCTGTACGAACACAAATGTCCCCCTTGGAAGTGAATACCGCTGCTGCCTGATCTACTTCTAACGTCCGATTCGAGTAGATGGAAAACGGAATTGTGAAGAACTGGGAAGATATGCAACATCTATGGAACTACACTTTTTATGACAAGATGAAGGTTGATCCCACTGGCCGAAAGATCCTCCTGACTGAACCCCCAATGAACCCTCTTCGAAACCGAGAGAAGATGTGTGAGACCATGTTTGAAGGATATAACTTTGGTGGTGTATACGTTGCCATCCAGGCTGTGCTGGCACTCTATGCTCAAGGTGTGCTTGCGTATATACTCTCCGTTCTTGCAGTGGTCAGATGCTGACACACCATATTACTAGGGCTGAGCAGTGGTGTTGTGGTGGACTCTGGTGATGGCGTTACTCACGTTATTCCAGTTTACGAATCGACGGTTCTAAACCACCTAACCCGCCGCCTTGACGTTGCCGGTCGAGATGTCACCCGTAACCTTATTGCGCTTCTCCTCCGTCGAGGCTATGCCCTCAACCGTACAGCAGACTTTGAAACCGTGCGCCAAATCAAAGAAAAACTTTGCTATGTCTCTTATGACTTGGAACTTGACAAGCGCCTTTCTGAAGATACGACTGTGCTTGTAGAATCATACACACTTCCGGATGGCCGAGTGATAAGGGTTGGAAGTGAGCGTTTTGAAGCTCCTGAGTGTCTTTTCCAGCCACACCTTGTCGATGTTGACCAGCCTGGTATTGCCGAGCTATTATTTAACACCATACAGGCCGCCGATGTGGACGTCAGAAGCAGCTTATACAAAGCTATTGTTCTCAGTGGTGGCAGCAGCATGTACCCTGGTCTACCGTCCCGATTAGAAAAGGAGTTGAAGCAGCTATGGTTGACTAGAAATCTACACGGCGACCCTGAGCGGCTAGACGTAAGACTTCATTTTTCCGTTACTTCATTGATCCTTGGATACTAACACCTAAATAGAAATTCAAACCGCGAATTGAAGATCCCCCACGAAGAAGACACATGGTCTTCCTTGGAGGTGCTGTCCTTGCAAATCTGGTAAGTGTAGACGCCGCCAATTGTATTTCTTAGACGGAACTGGAACTAACCAACCCTATAGCTCGCTGACAAGGACAACATGTGGATTTCAAAACAAGAATGGGAGGAACAGGGCACCCATGCTCTGGAGAAGTTGGGCCCTAGATAAATCAGTATATACAAAGACTAGACCTAGCTCTTCGGAGTACATCCTTATGACCAAAATTAAGATATAGCCTTACCTTTCTTATCTGGTTAGTAGTAGTTCCATGCCTACTTAATACACCTGGTAATGTAACGAAGTTGGCTGCATTAAAACGTGTACTGCATTGTTTTTAGTTTTTGTTTGGCTACGGAAGAGGGAACATGTTAACCATTGCAGCTCGGGTGATAATGATCTAAAAGGGACAACATAGCAGGGTAGAAATACAAGGCTGAAAGGATATTAGAATGCCACCCATGGATCGCTGCTTCGGGAGTCATACAAATAACCGTATAGGCATGTTTCAAAATGTTTTTTTACAGGGGAGAAATGAAAAAATGGTCCAGAGACTAAATGAGATCTATAATAATATGTTGAGAAAAAAGAAGAGCCCAGGTAAAAAGGGGGAATATGAGTTAGTCCTATAACTGTATGCGGCGGTTCCACGGGTCCAAGGAGAAGCATGTTATGAACTGATAATTCATTCATCGGATTCGGAGTCTGGGCCTTCGTCTTCTAGGCGCTTCTTTCGTTCTTCGTCTAGTTCACGATATGTGCTCCAGCTTAGAAGTAGGAAGGCGACGGTGATCAAGACACCACCAACAATGGAAGAGAAACCGAGCGCTTTGTGGTTGAATTTCCAATCGACGAGAGCAACCAGGAATATGGTGAGGAGTGCCGCCACTGACGAGAGGACTGGTGAGGTAAGAGATATAAGAACCAAGAATGATCCCGAGAAGGCTGGGTAGTCAGTTAGTATGCTTGTTGACTGGTTATGAAGGAAAGGGTTATACGCACCGGCATTTGAAAGGGTAGAAATGGTAAGAAGCCACGCAGTTTCACCCCGTGGTACCTGGAAGGTTTCTATACCAAGAAAATGGAAGATGGGCAAAGGAATCCAAAGAACGAGAAGTGTGAATAAACCGATCATGCTCCCGAAAGTATTCGCAAAAATGACACCGCGACCCGAGCTTGTCCCTTCCGGTGGGCAAGCAAACCGTTTAAATAAAACCTCGTATAGCCCGTAAAGAACACTGCCAACGCCAATAATGATATTACCCAACGCCCTGTTAGATGCTTTGAGGGTCTCTGCTTCTCCCGCCGGGGCACCTTCCGGAGGACCACCGGGGCCATAAGCAATAATGATGACTCCAACGATGGCTACGCCGACAGAGAAAACTTTGTCGAACCGTAGTTTGTCGTTGAGTAGCGGGATAGAGAATGCGTAGGCAAAGAAGGCAGAACAATTGTAGATTGCAGTTAGGTCACTGCTGGTGGTCAGATCAACAGCAACGTACCAGGAGCCTCCAGCTATGGTGAGAGCCAAGGCAACGAAGACCGTGGTTCTGATCATATAAGGAATCGGAGACTTATTCGACTGGCGGGTGGTGAGATGCAGCTCCTGAGTCTCGACCATCTGTGCAGTTGTCTGTAGGATATAGACATGCCTTCGCCAGAAAGCGGACCATGTGAGATGTCTCTTTTGGATTCGAAGAATAAGAAGCTGGATTGGCCATAGGAAAATCCATGAGCCATGTGTAAGATAACTAGACAATCACCAGGCGAATCATTAGCATCCTTGAAGCTATATAGCGAATACTAACGAAGACGTAAAAAGTGTAACCATCGGGATGAGGAGAGAGAAACGGGAAAGAAGGTCGCAACTCACAGCATGCAATATGGCTTTTTCCATCCCAACTCCTGCTGGATATAAACGGCAGTTTGGGTCTGCACCGTAAAGCTGATCAGACTGATGAGCAATGCAAAGGCAGCAATGATATATTTCTTCCTTGTCGCATTCTTTGCTCCAAAATCCGGGCTTCTGCTTCTAAAACTCGGCCGTGCTCGAGACATAGATGGCCGTCCTTCTTCCACACTAGCTGGCTCAACGCTCGCGGACCGTCCACGGTTCTCGCCCTTCAAGAGCGGCACCTTGGACCGGCTCTCGCCCGGACGCTGCATGCTGGGGCGCCCGATTGCCATGTCTCCATCCGAATCCTCCTCTGCTGAAGTATAAGCTGATTTGTTATAGTCGTCGTCTGCGGAGAAGAGTGTGGTAGACTTGTTCGCCGGTTTCAACTCCCGCAGTCGAATGTCGGTGCTTGAGGAGATATTGCTCGATCCTGCTGCTGCTGCCGCTGCTCGGCGTCGAGAGAGCGAGCTGCGCCGTTCAGAGGCAGAACTGTTGAACTGGTCCTCGTCCCGTGGAGTGTTTGAATGATGAGCTGGCTGGCTAAAGGTTTGTGGTGACATCCATGCGGACTCCTTCGAAAAGGGAACGGATCTCCTGTTGCCTCTCGTTTTTTAGATCTGCCCCTTGGGCTCTCAGCTCTGCCCTTGTCCGTCTCTTCTTTTTGCTTGATAGGCTGCTGGCCATGCGGCTCACTTCCGGGCGTGAAGCACCAGTGACATCGGATGGTTGCGCAGAGCAGCCAACGGGCCAAATTGCGGCGTGTCTATTGCGTATGGGAGGCAGACGGAACGTAGCACGCGTGATGCGGATATAGCAGTATGCAGCTGCAGAGACACATGAGCGTCTTCTTCTTTTCTTTTCCTTCTTCTCCTTCCGGCTTTTCTTGACTTCTCCAGCGTCCTTTATATGACGCCTGGAGATGACGCAGATACGAAATTTGAAGGAGTTTCGCCCCCTTTTCGCTTAGTAAGTCTACGCGTCTCCTCCAAGCGCAATTAAAGAGCAAGCGAAGCGCATTTTGTTCAATAGTTCTATGATATTTAAACGAGAATATCTGGCTAGATTCTTCCTCTAAGTTGGGCTGTTGACGCCGTTGGCTTGTCATGCTGCAGCTGGATGTGCCTGGTTGGCCTCGTGGTGGCCTAACTATCTACTTTATCCTTATCACCAGGCCAGCGGCAGCCGTCAGGGCCAGGGGCCTGTCAATCATCCTCCCGTTATTTATAGCTAGCGAAGATGGCAGCGAATATAAACACGTCAATGTGACTGCGGCTGCGGAGAGCATACTCGCACAGGGGCAGCCCATGGTGTCCAATAAGGGTAGCTGAGCACTTGTCCAGAGGCCATCGTGTACATGTTACACCCGCCACCAGGAGACACGATACGACTGGTGGACGTGGCATAGAGAGTACGAATACGTGAGACTCGTACTACTACTCCGGCGTGACAACAAGGAGGCCAGATAGTCTCTCCTCTTCCAAGTCTTCCCATCTTCCGGGCTTTGTACGGAATATATAAAGTGCCTGTTATAGAATGACGTCACCGCTCGTTGCTTGTTCGCCATAAGCTCATTAGGTAGCTGCTTGATGTCCGTTCGACCGTCCACAAGAGAGTCAACTGGATGCTCAAAAGGTACCTCGTTTGGTGTTCTGCTGTTATTATTTGGCCTCGTATCGCAATTTGATGGCGGGACTTTCGCTACTCCCAAGTCTCAAGGATTCTTAAGCAAGAAACCTTCCTTCGAGATAAAGAACTAAATAACAATTAGTAATTCATACAAACAAGGACGAACCTCGAAGAAACGAGGACTCGAGGAGAGTATATAACCGCGGCAGGGGGTATAAGTAAAGCACCCCGCCCTTTCTCGAAAGTTGCCCCGGTTGAAAGCAACCATCGACTTGAACAACTTCCTAAATAACCGACTCGACCACAGCCATGTTGGTAGTCCCGAAATCTCCCCGGGTGATCCTGGGGCTCATGACCTTTGGCCCTGATGAAAAGGCCATGGCCCGGATAACAAGCATCGATGAATTCAGGAGATGCCTCGACTGTTTCGCGAAGAGAGGGTACTTCGAAGTCGACACTGCGCGAGTCTATATCGACGGGAAACAGGAGGCCTTCACTGCGCAGGCTGGCTGGAAAGATCGTGGCCTCAAGCTGGCGACGAAATGGTACCCTAGGACTCCTGGTGCACACAAGGGGGAGCAAGTCCGGGCCAAAGTCGAAGAGTCTTTAAGGGAGTTACAGACTGACTGCGTTGACATCTTCTATCTTCACGCCGCAGATCGATCTGTGCCCTTTGCAGAAACCCTAGAGGCAGTCAATGAACTGCACAAGGAAGGGAAATTCGTCCAGCTGGGATTGAGCAATTACACATCCTTTGAGGTCGCGGAGATAGTCACGATGTGCAGCGAGCGAGGGTGGGTGCGGCCGACAGTCTACCAGGGAATGTATAATGCTATCAGTAAGTGGCTCACCTTGAAAGATCGGTCGTATCAAGAAAATAACTAATGTGCTTTCCGCAACACAGCCCGGTCCATTGAAGCTGAACTAATACCCTGCTGCAAGCGATATGGAATGGAGATCGTAGTCTATAACCCGCTGGCCGGTGGGATCCTGTCGGGCAAGTATAAGACGTCAGACATCCCAGCAGAGGGCCGCTATAGCAACACCCATTCGGGCGGAGAACTATACCGGGGCCGATATTTCAAGGATGCCACATTCGATGCCCTGAAGATTATTGAGCCAGTGGCTGAAAAGCACAAGCTAAGTCTGGTCGAGATTGCATTCCGCTGGCTTTTGCACCATTCAGCTCTGGACATTAAAGACGGCCAAGACGGAATCATCATTGGCGTGAGTAGCTATGAGCAGCTCGAGAAGAACCTGGACGATCTGGAAAAAGGACCGCTCCCGGATGAAGTTGTCGCTGCGCTCGATGAAGCCTGGATGGTAGCAAAGGCTACCACAGCGAATTACTGGCATCTGGACCTGAAGTATACCTATGACACACAGGCAGCTCTATTCAAGCCAAAGCAGTAACTAAATAGTTGTAGCTGGTTAGTTCTTAATTCGTTCACAAATCAAATGCAGCTGAACTCTCTGGATAGCTTGTTTAATGTTGCTCGCGTGCGTTGCATCCTCAATCGGATTCCAAGTGGGCCGAAACCACTCGGCAGGCCAGCTCGGCTGTGGATTTGGTCGTTATCTATGGAGTTCTCGGTCAGAGATAGATAGGTAGATAGGCCAGATCCAACGGAGCAAATACATATTCAGGGTCTCGGCCGCCGAGTATCCATCAGCCTATTTCTCTTGTCTGGATAAAATTCTCTGCGTCTATTGAGGGTCGAATATGGAGCCACAAAGGAAGCCATACCGATTCCTTATAATCAACCCAAACACGTCAACTCATATGACCGATGCCCTCAAACCAATAGTCAACGGGGTAAACTTCAGGGGTAAATCGGCTGTAGAGATCTATAGTGGGGGAAACGGACTCTCCGGCGAGCTCTCGGCGGTTCAATTTGACTATTTCACAGCTCCCAAGGAGCCAACCGTCACGAAGGATGGAGATATCCTCAAGGGCATACCGAGTATAAACAACGGCAAGCAATCAGTACTGTCCGCCGAGCACTGCTTCCCGCATCTCCAGCCGCTGGTAGGAGAGTATGACGGTTTTCTGGTTGCTTGTTACTCTCCGCATCCACTGGTCGGTATGCTAAGGAAAGCAATTGACGAGCGCAACGAAAAGCTTGAACGTGAAGCTACCGGCCAGACGACGCAGTTCCAAAGACAACGGCAGTATGTGACTAGCATCATGGATGCAAGCATAGAGATGAGCGCGTATTTTGCCAATTTGAACGGCGCGGACATCGATAGGCAGTGTTCTCCGGGCCAATTTGGAATCGTCACCACGGCAGACGAGTGGAAGGAAGAGTTCGACAACGCAGCGAGAGAGATGCTGCTGTCCAGCGGAAGGGATCCTGACTTGATATTCGCGGGTGTCGAGACAACAGGGCTCACGGCTGGCGAATTGCACAGCGCTCCGGCGGAGCAGGTCAGGTCCCGTATCAAGGGTGCGACTGAACGCCTGAAGGACAGCGCAGGCCCGTCACTGCGGGTGATTTCTATGGGGTGCGCAGCTATGGCCGGGATGGAAGAAGCTGTTCTCGAGGGCTTCGATGAGAGCCAGGGGGTTGTCGTAGTCGATGGGACTGCTGCTGGCGTCGCTGTCTTGCTTGGGCTGTGTAGAGCTAGTAGCTAGAGTATCAATTTAACTAACTAGTTAACGGTGGCCGCGCATTCAGCATCCTAGTCTCATAGGGGTCAGTAGTAGTCTCTAGCAATAATTGCCTCTGTCTCGAGTGAATAACAGCCAGCCGTCTTCATCAAATCCTCCGTTGCACAGCGTAGTGGTTGTTTGGGGTCGGTGTTGCTGCTGCCGCCGCTGGGTTTGGCTAGTTAAGGAGGTCGACAAACTTCCAGCGCGTCGCGTTTCTCCAGCGAAAAACCACAACCGCAGAGCGATGTAATCAACAGCAATGCCCAGGTAGGCTCTTCAAGCGACGGGTTGCGGTCTTAATATGAATGATATACTGACATTTCCGGTCTTTGCAGAGAAATAATTACCATCCAGGCTGGCCAGTGTGGCAATAACAGTACGTTCAGTCTTCGAAGTCCCTCCTATGATCCCCCCGCCAGATTCCCCCAGGTCCCCCCCGACGACGGCATACAAGCTTGATAGATGGATACGATGTTGTCTACTGGCTTGACACACCTCTACACTGTTCTGTTGATGCTGGGGAATTGCGAGATTGAGGGTTATGCGGCTGCTAACATGGGTTACTTGTAGTTGGGACGCAGTTTTGGCAGCAGCTCTGCCTGGAGCATGGCATCAACCAGGACGGAAACCTAGAGGAGTTTGCTACAGAGGGAGGAGATCGCAAAGACGTGTTTTTCTACCAGGTATTTACTCTGTTAGATGGGGAGCACCGTCTTATCTACCTGTAGCATCGCTAAGGACGGTCTTTAGAGTGACGACACCCGCTACATTCCCCGCGCCATATTAATTGATCTTGAGCCGAGAGTATGTCCCGGCTGCAGTTCGGAGCTTTTCCCAATGGAGACGGTATTGAAGGGACCTGGCTTACCGATATGTAGGTCCTCAGCACGATTCAAAACGGCCCGTATAGCAACATCTACAACCCGGAGAACTTCTTTATAGGCAAAGATGGTAGTGGTGCGGGAAACAACTGGGCAGCTGGTTATGCCACAGGTGACACCGTGCAAGAGGAGATATTTGACATGATTGACCGTGAAGCAGACGGCAGTGATTCGCTGGAGGTTAGTGGGAAAGAGAGAGAGAGAGAAAGACATTATCAACTCAACATGTTTATTTGGATGGTATAGCTAACTTCGCTAGGGCTTCATGCTCCTTCATTCTATTGCAGGAGGAACAGGTTCTGGCCTGGGAAGCTTTATTCTCGAGCGAATGAACGATCGATTCCCAAAGAAATTAATTCAGACATACTCTGTCTTCCCTGACACGCAGGCTGCAGATGTTGTCGTCAACCCGTATAACAGCCTGTTGACTATGAGACGGCTTACGCAAAATGCAGACTCGGTCGTAAGTTTAGAGCAGCCTATCAACAGCCATCTGAAAATATAGACACAACATTAGACAGGCAGCTAACAGCGGAATGCATACTTAGGTTGTGCTTGACAATGGAGCACTCTCCAGAATTGCGGCAGACAGACTCCACGTGCAAGAACCGTCTTTCCAACAGACGAACCAGCTGGTGCGCCTTTCTGATGCCTCATGAAACATCGCAGGAGAAATAAATATCTTCTGGCTAGCTAACCCATGCATAGGTTTCCACCGTAATGTCCGCTTCAACAACTACCCTTCGGTATCCGGGATATATGCATAACGACCTTGTTAGCGTGATAGCATCTCTCATCCCAATTCCGCGTGCGCACTTCCTGATTACCTCATACACGCCGTTCACTGGCGATCAGGTTGAGCAGGCCAAGACTGTGCGGAAAACAACCGTGTTGGATGTCATGCGCAGGCTCCTTCAGCCCAAGAACCGTATGATGTCAATAACACCCGGTAAATCAAGCTGCTACATTAGCATCCTTAACATTATCCAGGGTGAGGCAGACCAAACAGACGTGCACAAGTCTGTTCTGCGCATCCGGGAGAGACATCTAGCCTCGTTCATTCCCTGGGGCCCGGCCAGCATCCAGGTAGCTATCCCAAAGAAATCACCATACCTCCAGAACACGCACCGAGTCAGCGGCTTGATGCTGGCCAATCACACCTCGGTGGCTACGTTATTCAAGCGTATTGTCAGCCAATACGATCGCCTGCGGAAACGCAACGCCTTTCTGGAACAGTACAAGAAGGAAGCCCCCTTTGCAGACGGGCTGGGTGAGTTCGATGAAGCGCGAGAGGTCGTCATGGACCTCGTCGCTGAATACGAAGCTGCGGAGAAGCCGGATTATCTTGGGGGAGGGGCGGAGGGAGATCACGGAGACGAGGGATAAATCAGACAGGTCCGAACAAAACAAAACAAAGGTGAACAAACACTTCTGGACGATCTTAACTAATAGAAATGGCATCTCTTTCCAACTCAAGCTTGTCCTTTGGCATTCCAAACCCGCCTGCTAAGCCCCGGGATGGTCGGATGTAAGTATGTATTGGTATACATAAGTATACTTAGACTACCAAACTCAACCCACACATGTATACACACAAAGGGGGAGGAAGACGGCGACTGTCGGGGGTTCCTTGGGGTAAAACACACGGCATCTAGAGCCCACATCATCAGTCAGCGCGCCCTCCACTCTCAACCCGGCTTGCTCTGTGGTGGTTGGCTCAGGGGCGTGAGCAGGTGTCCACCGGGCAATCCAGCTGGGCAGCGATTTCCATGCCTGAGCCCCCATCCCATCACCATCTCCACGGAGCCCATCTCATCACCCATCACCCAGGGCCTCCCCCTCACAGCAAGCTCAGCTTACTAGTTACTCCGTACCACAAAAACAAGACAGCTTTATATTACTTCATTAACTGGCGTTCGCCAACCTCGCCTAACCGCCGCCTTATGCAAGAAAAATTCTTCAGCCAAGAGAAAAAGCTTATCTCGGCTTTCCCGCTCGGCAAGGCGCTTCCGAGCCGCGGCATCTCTATTTCTACCGCAGGGGAGAAGCTGCAGTCGAACTTCCATACATGGCATCCGTATCCAGAGCAGCTTCAGCACAGGGGAGCAGTTGCGGTGTTTTACAGATACGGACCGCGATGGTGTGGCTATAGCTACGTTGTGTTATGCGGAGACAAACACCCTGGGGAAGTCAAGGTCCGCTTCGCTCCACACGTCTCTGACAGAAATTATTCGAGAAGGATGCAATACTGTTGCAGCGCCCCACGGAGATAGTGGAGTGATGGTACAGTTGTTGGTCAGCCCTGGTTGCATCAGGACGTCAGCGTCCGGAGCAGATCGTCGTCTTGCTCACAGCAGCTCCACCACATTTGGAGGCAAACCCGATTGATCCCTGAGCATGGTCAGCCAGTTGCCCAGCCCGGCGATTGGGTGCACAATGTGTCCCCTGCCAAATGACAGGTTGATCAGGCCTTCTTCGTGTCTTCTACTGTCGTCCGGAGTGTCCGGGGAACGGGAGATGGTGGAATACCTAGCCATCCACCGCAAACGAACTTGATCCAATATGAATCCCTGGAGGAGGAGCGCAACTCTGAATAGTGGGTTTCGCCTAGGAACCAGACCCAGACAATGCTCACCAAAATCATTCTCTGGCAGGAAGCCAGCCATCCAGCCATCTACCTCATCTAACGAGCTAGCCAGGAGTGGGATGGCTCTTTGTATCCATTCCGTACTTTCTTGTTGTGCGTGGCGACGGAGGACCGGGGAAACTGAAAATTCCCAAGCTCAACGCGGGAAAGCCTGTCTTAAAGGTTAACCTGTTGCCTCTTGGGCAACGATGATTCAATTGAATAAAAGGCTGACCATATCGACTGCCTTTTGTCATTTTCTTCCATCTCGACTTCCTTCACTTTTATTCACATACCCCAACTAACCTCCTTCTACACCTGTTATACGCCACATAGCTGGTAGCCACTCATTCATTGACGGAGCTTACGCACACATAAAACGCACACAGGAAAAAAAGGAGGGACAGACAGGGCATACACACCGTCGCCATGTCGACAGATCAGAAGGCGGAGGAGTCCAAGATCAACCAGGACATATCCCTCCGCAACAATAACATAGACGAAGAGCAGAATGAAATCTCAAAAGAGCTTCCAGCCTACAACAATGATCCTTTTGGAGATGAAGAGTTTTCAGATGTCAAGTACAAGGTCATGACGTGGTGGTAAGTGGTCTTCTAGTTATTTATCTATCACCTCTAGCATAGATTGGTCGCTAACAATGTGTATAGGCAATGCGGAATGAGTATAAACTCCCACTCATTTGTCAGATACCCTTGGATATACAGCTAACAGCTCTCCAGTTATGATTGCCGAGACGATATCTCTTGGAATTCTCTCCCTACCCTCCGCAGTTGCAGCGCTGGGTATTGCCCCGTAAGCAGCACTACCCTCTTTATCATAACCGTTACTTAACATACTAACATCACTCTTCGCTACACAGTGCCGTAGTTATTATAGTAAGCCTCGGCTTCCTGGCCACATACACCGGATACGTTATTGGCCAGTTTAAGATGAAGTACCCCCATGTCCACAACATGGCGGACGCCGGAGAGATTCTCTGGGGCCCCATCGGTCGAGAACTCCTAGGAGCCGCCCAGCTGCTCTTCCTGGTCTTCATTATGGGAAGCCATATCCTAACTTTCATCGTCATGATGAATACCCTTACCGACCACGGGACATGCAGTATCGTCTTCGGAGTTGCCGGAATGATTCTTTCTTTAGTTCTTGCGCTTCCGCGAACCCTCAAGAATGTGTCTTGGCTGTCGATTTCATGTACGTCCTTATTCTCTCACATGTTGTTTTCGGTATAAACAGTCTACTAACTACCCTCCAGCTTTCATCAGTATTCTGGCAGCTGTGTTTGTCACCATGATTGGAATCGCTATCCAGCATCCTGCAAAGGGAATTGACATCACTGTCAAAAGTGATCTTTACCACGGCTTTTTGGCTGTGAGCAACATCGTCTTTGCATACGGTATGTCCCTACCTTAAAGAGTACGTAACATTCTTCACTGTGATCCAAACTAATCAATCATGTAGCTGGTCATGTGGCATTCTTCGGGTTTATCTCCGAGTTGAAGGAGCCTGCTGGCTACCCCAAGGCCCTTTACCTCCTTCAAGGAAGCAACACGACTCTATATGTCGTTAGCGCTATTGTTATCTACATCTACGGTGGAAGGGATGTTGCCTCACCCGCTCTCGGCTCTACTGGACCAGTCCTACGAAAAGTTGCATATGGAGTCGCTATGCCAACGGTACGTCGCAGCATAGTTAACTTTCTCTCTGCTCCTAATGTTTGCTGACATGAATGTTTGTAGATTGTCATTGCTGGTGTGATCAACGGTCACGTCGCTAGCAAGTACCTCTACGTTCGAATCTTCCGTGGAACCAACAAGATGTCACAGCGAACCTTCGCCTCCCTCGGTACCTGGGTCGGGATCACCGTTGTTCTATGGGTTATTGCTTGGATCATTGCCGAAGCTATCCCTGTCTTCAACAACCTTCTCAGTTTGATTACTGCTCTCTTCGCCAGTTGGTTCACCTGTAAGTTCTTCCTGAACCAAAAATTTATCCAGGTCTACAATGTTCGCAATAAGATGCTAATAAATGGTACAACAGATGGCCTCAGCGGCTTGTTCTGGCT